CTGCGGTTAAACTCCAATAGTGAGGTCTTACTTTAGAAAGGTGAAACTCACACTTGGCTTATATGTCAACAGAGAGGGCTCTGTGGGCCACAGGTTTGCCACCACTGGTTTAGAAGACAGAGGTTTCACTCCAGGTTTGGTTTCTGACAAATCTTAAATGACTCTGAGTCTCAATCTTTCTCTTCAAATATATATTTATTCCACTTATGTCACAAGATGGTACTTGAAAAGAAATGAGAAGCAGAAGGATTTTGAGATTATGTATAAGATGTGACTACATCTGATGCACTTAGCAGTCCTAGACATCTGAAATGAAGGCCAGAATGGAAAGGTTGAGCTGAGCAGGCAGAGGTGGGGGTCTGCTTGACACACTACAGGTCCTGGATGTCTGCTGGGAATGGTAAAAAAAGAAAAGCCCATGATTCCTGTCAAAGACAATAGGAAGATTTTATTCAAATGGGAGGTCTGTTACTATAATGATTTTTTCATTGTTTAGTAGGGAAAGCTTGGTTCTCAACATGGTAAGGAAATTGGGACAGGCATTGGTTGGTGGAATATTACCAATCGGTACTATATATATATATATAGTTGTTCTAGGAGGATTTTTTTTCTTTTTATCGGTACCAGGGGTCGAACTTGTGACCCTGTACTTACAAGGCAGGTGCTTATACTGCTGAGCTAAATCCCCAGCCCCTAGGAGGATTGTTTTGAAGGCAGGCCAGGGGAATACAGAAAGTGATCAGACTCAGAGTGGGAGAGTTTCACTAAAGTGACTCAGCAAGATTCTTTTAAAACTGCAATAAAGGACTAAGCACAGAACCCAAGATCCAGAGTCTAGTTAGAGATTCTCAGAGAAACTTGAATAAAATCAGCTCAAGGACTTTGTCATTGTCAGGAATCGTTCTGAATAACTTGGGAAATGGCTCTAAAAGGTGTGCATGTAAGTGTTAAAGAAAACCAAATTGTTTCTTTTACTGTGTTTAAAGTTCATGAAAGAGATTTATGACCATTATATTAGAAAACCCTGATGACAGAAACAGAGAAATTATTGTATGAAGTACTGATTCTAAATATTTTAGTCCTCAAAATAATGTATTTTTAGAAAGAAGTTTAGTTAACCACTGTTCCTTTATAGTGTTGATTAATAAAGTTTTGAATCAGGCCTAGATACTGTTTTATTATTCAAATAATTCTCTCAACAGCACACCCCAAAACATTTAATTTACATGTGAGGGATTTTAATATCTTTTTACAAAGCTGAGGAAAACTAGCAAGTTTAATCAGCATAAGAAGAATTCTTGCCTTCTCTGTGTCAGGAACCTTTAAATAATAAGTACAAATAGGTAAGATTTGTGTAAACCTTGAATCTTTTATTCTGGCTGGGTAAATCTAGTCATACAACTTTCTGGACTAAAAAAATACTTATTTAAAAGATATAATTTTAATTTGAATTATCTTTTGAATGGCAACCGTTTTGTCTTTGGTTTTTATAAACGTATGTATGCATTATTATTATTAATACAGATATGTGATCCTGTTTCTACTCTATACTATATTTACATATTCAGTACGTTTTCTATATACTTGTGGCAGAGGTGACAGATAGAGCAATATGAGATAACGGAAAAATGATGCGAAGGTCGGATCATGATGCGGAGGTGCGGATGAGAACCGGACACGCAGCTCACGTTAGGAAGTCCAGGACGCTTCTGAACCAGAGCTCTGCAATTTCACCCTGAGTTTTTCCAGCGGTCTGTGCAGAGAGACATTTGATCAAGTACATGAGTCACAGTGCTCATAAAACGAAAGCAGAACAACGGCTCTGGCACAGAGTTCGTGCACTTTCTGAAGGCGTTCACTTTGCTTGAATATTCTCACCTTGAGTTGTGCCAGAGCTTGGACTAAGTGAATATTTGGCAGGAACCAAAAAAGTTATCTTTCCTCTAAAAAGCACAGGCTGTTAGACTTTGCGGGTGTGGATGTGGAAGCTCAGAAGGGTTGAGCTTTAATCACTGGAATTGGAGTTTTGAAGATTATTTCTCATGGATGATTAAACTACAATTCAATTGTATGTTGAAAACATTTCAAAACTGTTACTAAACAATGAGTAGCAGAAGAAAAGAAATTTTAAAATACTATTTAAAGCCCTCATATAGGAAGTTAGCAATATAGGAAGTTAGCAATGCAGAACTCAAAAAATCATACTAAATCTGAAGCAAGGAGTCAATTATTCAGTATTTCTAAAACCCTAACCCATGCCAGGAGGTCATAGGAACAGGCCTAAGGAATCGCGTGGCTTCAGCTTTCTTTAGCATAGGGGGCTTAGCAGAGTCAGGATTTTATGTGGAGGATCCAGCTCTGATTTCAGCTGTCATTGTGACTTACAGCCAGACATACCTCTTTCCTAGCAAGATGAGAGGCATCAAAATTAGTAGCTGCAAAGGGCAGACAGTTGCTTTTGACAGTCACACCACAGTGATTTTAAATTCAGAGACAAATTTAGGCCTAAAGTGAAAACTTTCCTTCTGGTAGATACTTTTGTGTGCCAAAGGCAGGCTCAACAGTGTGAACGCCAGATGGCAGCAATGTTCTCCAGATAGATCCAGCAGGGGTGAAGCTGTCTTCTGGTTTTCACTCACTAAACTCCCCAGTAGGTGACACTAACACTAACACGAATGCAGTTGGAAAGGTCATCAATGGATTATGTGAAAAAAAAAAATTAATCCTTCTATTAAATATGAGAGCAGCATTGTGAAAAAATACACATAGTTGGAATTCTTTTTCTCTAGAAAACTTCCACATACTAGTTGATTTTAGGCCTTCCACACACTAACCTAATATACAAAAATAAAATAACATAGAAATAAAATTTTTGGGGAGGGGTGTGAGGAAGAATCTAGAGAAGAGTATTAATTGAAAATAAATTAGTATTATTATTGTGAATTTATGAACTCAGAATTTCTTATTCCAATTTAAAATAAACAAGGGAGATTACAATAGCCAGTGTTGAAAACAATAATAGTTATTATTTATTGACCACATAGTATTTGCCAAGGATTGTATTTAAGTGCTTTAAAACCATTAGTTCATTGAACTTGGACTGGAGACTTCCAAGAAATTCCAGAGTTGAGCATAAGCCTATTTAGAGTCATCAATTCTGTATTTTCCATGACCTTTTGCTTTTTTTCTGCTTGAGCCACTTTACTTAAAACCGTAACGAAGAAGAAATTAGAATTGCATGCTGGGCATGTTTTTTGCTCACATTTAGATCTGTAGCATTAATTCAATGAAGGACAATAATATATTTTGATTCCATGGTCATATTGAAGGCTAAAACTAAGATTAGTTTTGGAGCAATAACAAGTGGTAAACTCATTAGTGCTGAAAAATAAATGACTGATAGTATCATAAATAAGAATAGGAGGAGGTGAAGGAGAACAGAGAAATTCTGCATTTTTGGCTGGGAAGAAGCTAAGGGTAATGAGATGGGGACCCGGCAGGCTAGGAGCTCAGGTTCCAGCCTGGCTTCATTCTTCGGTGGTTACCCTTACTTCTTTAGCAAGCCTTACCTGTGTATTGTCTTACCCAGCCACTGGTAACCCAAATGCAACACAAATGCTTTCAGTGTGTGGCAGAGGCTTGAATGTACTTTGGCTCCCTTAGAGGTAAACACAGGGAAGAGAAGCTGTAGCAGCAGAGTCATCCCAAATGATGTCTCAGAGGTGCCCACCGTGATCCTAGGCTTCCTTCAAGAGGACCTCAAATTCTTCATATTTCCTCCAATTTGGAGAGATTAGAACCCACCAAAGAGGAGAAGAGAAATAACAAGTCAGGGATTGCAAAGTAGATTAAGACAGTTATTTGTCAGTTTAGTGACCAGTGAAGCCAAACTTAAATGTGTCTGAGTTCAAGTATGTTTTAAGAAGAATACACAAAATAATATGACAAAGTCAAGGTCAAAAGCATATTTTAGGTTAATGGGAAGAGGAGAAAGTCACTCCAGTTTCACACACAAGACAGCTTTGGGGGGTAGTATCTTCTAAAGAAGAGAAAGGAATGGCCAGGAGGGCTTCAGGGAAGGGTGTTCCAGGGGAAAGGGAAGAGTAGTCACTTGATGATCTGTACCCAGAACCCTGTGCCCAGGTACCTGCAGGCAATGGAAGATGAGCCCAGGATGCCAATGAGCTGATATAAATCAATAATAACAACTGCCACTAACTAGGCAATTATTCCTGGGAGTATTGCATTATACTCACTTCTATTTCTCATTTAGCTTTAGCCAGATTCACTGTGGAATTGGAGTTATCCATTATCTGAGAAAGTATCTCACTTGGGGTCCAATAGTTAATAAACAGCATGATCAGGATTCCGACCCATTCTTTGGGCAGTATTTCATGTTTTTCTAGGGCCCTCCAGCTAGACCAGAGCTGGTGACATATACTGACTTCTATCAGAGCTCACACTAGACAATTTGGATCAATTAGTAAGCACAATTGGATCAAAATGCCATTGACTGTTGCACAATGACACCAAGATTAGTTCTGCTAAAATGGGAACACTAGGGGTATTATAAAAGATACTGAGAAAATAAAAACAGAATTGAACAAACTCTTCCTTCCACACATTTTTTTCCCTTCTGACTTAAACAGCAATAAAGGAAGATAAAGCAGAATGAATCCAACCAACTGACAGCATGACTAAAGGTTTTTAGCTTGTCTACCTGGTTCTTAGCCCAAAAATGATCCACTTCGCCTCCCTTAGTGCTATAGGTAGAAGGGCTGGAGAGGAACAAATGGTATGTGAATATGGTTTGAGTATTATGACAAAACTGCTGATAATCACTGATGCCGTTCTTTTCCTCTATAAAAATATTTAACTTTGCTTGTCTAATAACTTTTCTGTGGCCATAATCCTCAGAATTGCTTCCCAAAGAAAAAAATGCAGGCTGGAAGTCATATCTAGGTTTCAGAGAACAAGGCAGGACATATCACAAGCACACATTTCACCGAACAATTGTGTTTAATTGTACAATCAACAGTACATTCATACTACATGAAGACTTTTTTGCAAATATTTATAAAAATTGTTTTAAAAATTGAAGGGGGCTCTGTCTGTGGCAGTTTCTTTAGGTGAGCAAAGTGCTGAGAGTCACTATGGTAATGAAGACCGAGGCAACGAGCAGGAAAATCAAACCCATGCGACATAATTTTGACCTCTTGTCATGCTTCTTTTTCTTTTTCAATAAAGTGTCAAAACCCGGCGTGTACATGTCTCCCAGCCAAAATCGTAGGTCATTAGGATTTTCCTGAAAGAAAATTATGTAGGAAATAAGGTATCATCAATCGGTGATCCAAAGTGAGATTGGAAACAAATTATTATCAGACACCTTACAGATTTATATTCAAACTGTCCTGGGTGAGACGTAAGTGTCACAGCTGGGAACAGAAAGGCCAGCGCTCTCTAAACAGAACAATGTGCTGCTGCTACGGCCCTTAGCTGCCAGCAGGTCTGTGCAGTGAATGTACAGGTCTGCATCAAAATTCATTAGGAAGCCTGAAAAAATGCCTTATTAAATGAGTCACATTGGAAGGTCAGAAACACCACAGTGATTCTGTAATCTTTTAGATAATTTTGTATTTCTTACATCTCATGAATACTGTGTGTAAATCAGGTTAGTGAGTCGAAATAGAATTAAAATTCCTTGCCTTAGATGAACCTTAGAGACTTGATTTTGTCTGCATGGCAGGAATAAGCAGGTTTAGTGAGTCTTCCAGTAAATTCAGAATGACTTTCAAGGAGGGAGAGTAGCACTAGGTGTCAAGGGTCTGTTCCATGAGTCTCAACTTACTGGTCTTCCTCATAGAGTGTTGTAGTGTCTCTGTCGTGCTAAAGCTTTGCATGCACGTCTGACTTCCCAAAGAAAAGAGCTCATTTATGCACATCAGCAGTGGTGCTCACGTCTCATTTTGTTGGCTTCATTTTCCCTTCAGTGCTAGAGCATTCGCTTCCTGTCCGTATTCTTTCCTGAAAAGCACCCACAGGCTCTACTCTTCCTACAAAGTAGTACAGTTACTCTTTTATCATTTTGTGCTGTTTTTCAGTGCTCCAGATCCTGCATCTATTTCTGGCATTAGATAGGCAGACCAGAAATTTCTAGGAAATGCTGAACTGCAGTTTTCACACCACCATTTCAAGCCTCATCACCTCTCATCTGGATGATTGCAAGGGACTGCCCACCCTCTAGTCACTGTCCTTGTTAGCCTCTAGGTCACTGAAGTAGCTTTGGAGTTATGGGTATACGGTGGGAGAGGACTGCGCACACTCTTGAGGAGCTGTGATTGGATGCCTCAAGGTTACTACGCTCCTTCCATTGCTGTGGTTAAAGCATGCACTTCCTAGTCTTAGAAATGCTCAAATGTCATAATAAAATGTGAATAGCATGCGCAGAAGGATTTTAAAATCCTTGTCTAACTTATTCTCATCTATCACCTTGCTTGCATCCAAATCAGAGGACTCCATTTTGCATACACGTTTAATGCTTTTGTTCTGCATTAAAAACTTCATAATGGTGACTTTCCTCATTACATTCTGTAATTCTTGCTTTGGTGGTTAAATATAGGGTTCTTCTTTTATGATTTAAAAAATCATAACTATTTAGAAAAATAGAAACAGACTGAGGCATCCAGAATATTTATAGTAGTAAGTTACACCAAAATTTCAAAAATATGTTAGGGGATATGTTTATTAATTATGAGACAAGGATAGAAGTGGTAATAAAGAAGTCAAAGTAATAGAACAAAATTCTAGTGACAACAGAAGTCATGGGTTTCAGGAGTTTCTTTTAATTACTGCCTCCCTCAGACGTCAGTGTGTGGCCAATAGGCAGGAGGGTCCTGACCTTTGATATGAATGAAGTAAACATAGCAGACAGGATTGGAAAACAGACAGATACTGGCTTCAGTAAAACAATGCTCTCATTAGAGTTGGATTCTGTCTTCCTTAAATGTATCGTTCAGCCTAAAAACATTATTCTTCAGTTTTCTTTGTCTAACATTCAAACTTGAATTTTAGCTTCTGAAAATTAAACTAATTTCCTTAACTCAAGGCTAAAACCACGCTTACATTAGGTTAAGCATATCTATCTCCTCAAGCACTCAGCATTTCTTTATGCTGAGAACACATTCTTGCTTCTTTCAGCTTTGTGAAATACACAATATGTGACTGTAGCCTGCTATCAGTCTGCTGCACAGTAACACAGTGTGGGTGATTTCTTCTAACTACACCTCAGTGTCCACTCGTCAAACTGTCTCTGTCACACCTACCCTCAGACAGTCTCTTTTTGTAGATTTTGTGGCTTTCTCTGCAGCTATTCATAAACTAGGGCACTAGGAAAACTGTTCTACTGAGTGCACAAATTCTCTCACTTTCCAGTGATTCTATCTTCTTGCTGTTCAAGCCACAAGAATCTCCCTACCGCTGCAAACCTTCTAGATCTTTTGAAATTTCACCTAGGCCCCCGAGCTCATGTGAATTAACATTGTAGTGCAAACTTTTTATAATCACATATGACTTCCCTCTTCCAAATTTCCTCAGCATTTCCCGTTACAATTATAGACATGCTTCCATATCTTTTGCATAAATAGTATTGCAAATTTGCTCATTTAGATGAACTTTTTGAAGGCAGGGACATGATGTTTATTTATGCAGTTTCTGTCACATACAGAAACAACAAATACAAGAGAAGATGCCCTAGAAATGTATTGCCAATGTTTGAATGTGCGGGAAGTAAAGCAATACAATTTATTTTTCAAAGACTAGACTTAGAAGTCTTGATTTTGCGCCACTTGATGGAGAATATGAAAGAAAGAATAAGAAAAAAAGGGAAAGAGGGAAGGAGGGAAGGAGGAAAGGAAGAAAATAGAACACATGATAACTGTTTCTTTCAGGAGCATCTATTTTTTTAAGCCTCTTGGAAGTAAGGCTTAGTGAGAGGGAAATACATTTGAAGTACTAGATTTAATAAACATTGAAGATTCTACAACTATAGGATATTTTGAAGTCTGTGCATTTCAATAACCATATGTAGGATTTGAAAGGACATGGAACTGTTCCATTCCAAAGGAAAAAAAATGTCCTCAGGTGCTGAACCTATGAGATTTGGAACGGACACATGTTTTGAAATGAAGGGTACTTGGAAAATGTCAGCTTCCCAGACTGGAGCAGGTGGAGGCAAGCCAAGGCTGGTTAAGAATCTGGTCCTTTCAGAAAATGGAGCACTTTGCTCTCTGCTTTTCAGGTTTTTCTAGGTCTTTTATTCATGGGCAACAGATTTCAGGGGAAGAAAGTAGAAAAAAAAAAAAAAAGAAAAAGGAAAGAAAGAAAAACTTAAGTTGGGTTTAAGCTGGGTGAATGAGTTCATTGCATACTTTTCCTGTGTTGAAATGTTTTTGTTTTGTTTTGTTACTGAGACACAGGAAAATGACCAAAACGTCAATCTGCAATCTTAAATCACTGGGTAAGCCTGATATAAAATTATTCTCTTAAGTACTTCCTTGTGCTTTATGTATGTTTTTTAAAAAAATAGTATATACAGTAAGAAATCAATCTTTAAGTGTTTGTAAGCATAAATGGTTACACACTCTGGGAAAACATGTAATCCTGCAAATCAGTTATGAAAACCTTTCACCTTCTCCAAAATTCTATATTTTATGCCACATCATTTTATCTGTTTCTATAGCAAATCAACAAAATACTGACTAGGAGGGAAGAAGTTAAGCCAGGGGTCCCAATGCCCTGAAATCGGGAGATGTTTGTATCTAGTGAAAAATGCCTGCTTTTAAGTAACACGTGTTTTAGGATTATTTAACTGAGCTGCCACACCAGTCGAAGGGGTGATTCTCAGCCTTGAGTACCTTTAGATGTCCTGAGAGGTTTGTGTGCAAGGAATGCTTGTCGTATTCCTCAACAGTCCATGAAGGACTTTTTTTGCTTTCTTCTATAGCGTCTTCCAAACTCAGGCCACCATAGAGTGGATTATTCTTCATAACCGAGGACATGGATGGTGGCGGGCTATCAGCAGTGACTGAGGCCTCCCCACTGGATCCCTTGATTCGGTGAGCAGTAATGCTCTTCTTTTCTCTCTGTTAGGAAGCAAAGACACGAACCATGTCTTACAAATGGGTCTTCTGATAGTAAAGACTACAGCAGAGGAAATATGAATCTGGAAAATTGTTGATTTGGGCTAGATCTCCAACAGGTGAGGGCTATGGATAAGAAAATAACTTAAGGGTTGACTTTGATCTAGCATCCTACCGTTACTTGAGTTCTCTTTTTGCAAGTGGTTGTTTTCTACTGTGATATTCATTTGAATGCTCTTTTATAAGTACAAAAAGAGTATTGTTTAAGTTGCCTGATAGGATTCTGAACAAGGTCAAGATTTCTAGTTTATTTGCACTGTGACTTAGTGACATTTTACCTCTCTGTGTTTGTATATTCTGTGACTGAAAACATTGCTGTATTAATTCAGCAAATTCAAGATTAAAAAATGTCTTATAGTTATATCTTGGCTTTTTACAAATATTCTTCTGGTTCCTATTTCAGGCAGCTTTGTGCACTGGGCTGATTTACCATTGCATTTGTCTATGTGTCTATTGCTTGTTAGATGGTTCAAATAATGGATTTCAAATCTAAAAATGTTTTTAATAAACCACAATAATAACACACATAAAGAGACGTGCGTATATGATAAATGTATTGCTGACTACATTTTTCCCAATCAACATAAATATAACAGGGTATAGGACACTGTCCGCCCACCTTGCATTATTTCCATTTCTTCCTATCTCCCTGTCTAAAGTAATTAATATAGGTTAATTTGGACTCACTTGGGCATTTTATATGAATGGAATTAGACAACTCATGCCTTTCTGTATCTGCTTTAACCTTCAGAATTTTACCTTGCTTTCTTCCCCACCTTAGGGCATGAAGATATCATACAGACAGGAACTTTTTAAATTAAAAGTTGTTCACTGCATAAACTAAGATAAAAGTAAAACAAAAAGGCTTATAAAGTAACACTTTATCACAGAACACTAATGGGAGAAATCTAGCATTAGTTAATTTTAGGATAATACAGTTTTAGTCTTTAAAAACTAGCAATTTTTTCTAATTTGCAGAAATATTTCATCATGTGTTTCCTATACTGTTAGCCTTCCTAAACAGAGAAAGTTCAATAAAAATTGTATTCCTCCATCTCATTTCTATGACAATCAATACATTGGTAACTTTAGCATCTATTGGGATATATAGGTCACATATATATATATATATATATATATATATATATGTATATACACACACACATATTACTGTTGTAAACTGGTATGACATATACTTTCCTCTTGAAATGACTGGCAAGTAAAAAAAAAATCATCCTGATGAAACCATCCACGTTCTCTTTGGTGTTGGGTTTCCCTAACTTTCTTAATCCTTGCATTTTTCACATTCTTGATCAATTTGGAGATCCTCTCAGACATTAATAGTTTCTTTGTCATTTCAAAGTCAATTTATATTCTATAATTCCAAAATGTGCACTAAAATAATAACTCCTCTTGACTGGGCATTTATCTTAAAGATGAGTGGTTTCGTAAGTCTATCTGAATTGACTAAAGAGCAATTTGATAAGAAATTTAGATTGTTTGAGCTTAGCATAATTCTGAATCACTTTTTTTCCTCGAGGCCCAGGGATCCTTGATCATTTTTGAAGAGGGATAATTCTTCTGACACCGACAAATTGGGTTTGTTAGGTTACTTGCATATTAGGCTATTCCTTGAGTTTCTTCTTAAATAAGAAAGCTATATAAATGAAGAAAATAAAGTTTAAGGGCTCAAGAAAAAAATTACAAGCAATGACTATATATATACACACATAAATATATATACTTAAAAATGAATGTATAAAAGAACAAAATAACATACATATTCTAAGAGGATATCTGAGCCCTACTTCTAAACCATATTCTTTAAAGCTTTGTGGTTTATACTAGATATGACATTATTTATTTTTGTTTTATATGCCAATTTCCTGTCTATTTCATGTGTATAGGACATGTCAAGAGAAATTTAATACTAATCTTTATTAAGAATCTGATTTGGGGCTTGGCTTATAGGTAAGTGTATGCATGCATGATACCGTATGTGGTTCCTGAGGTCCTGAGCATCAGCCCAACACAGCACAGATAGGAAGAAAGAAGGGAGAGAGGGGAGAAGAGAAAAAGAAAGGGAAAGAAAAAAGGAGGAAACAGGGAGAAAAAAGATCATTTAATAATATATATTTAGGTGAGAAACTTTTAACAGGAGTATTTATATACATATATTTCAAGAATTAGAACAATAGTATTATACAGGAATGACACGAGCAGTTTATAAGAAGGACTGAAAGCATGTGTTAAAAGAATCTAGAATTTTTTTATTTTAAATAGAATAAAACAAAAAGAAGCAAAACAGAATAGAACAAAGCAGAGCAGAGTAAAGCAATATCAAAAACACAGGATTTCAGAAAAAGACAGCAGGAAATCAACAGTGGCTGCCATGATGTCTCTTGTTTTCTTTGAAATAGCTGCCTCTATCTTCACACACAATAAGTTAAAACAAATCAAATTAGTATAAAAGCAATAAAAACAAATGAGAGTGAGAGCCTTAAGGGCTTTCAAGGCCAGACACTAGGAAATCAATAATGGCGGTAGCCATAATGTCTATTGTTTTCTTCAAAATAGCTGTCCATACCTTCACTCATATTGAAATGAAATTACTGAAAATAGACTAAAACCAATCAAAACCAAGAATAAAAGCATTATTGAACTTTGAAACATACTGATAGGAAATCATCAGTGGCTACCATGATGTCTAGTTTTCTTCAGTACAGCTTTTCATATTATTACACATAATAAAATCAATTCCTGTAAACCCTTTAGGTGTAGTTCTAGGCATATATAAGACTATATGTATATAGAGAAAAACAAAACAACAAATAGCTAACTAATAAATATTAACAAATAAATAACTGTAATTATAGCTAAGAGAAATATGGAAATTTTATGCTTTCTAGTGTTAATAATTTGATTATAGACTCTGAATATTGAAATTCAATCTTATTTTAAAAAATTAAAAACTAATGAGTACAAAGCCCAGTAAAATTTCTCAGCTGAATGAAATGACTCAAGGCAAAGATTTTGTTAGAGGTATAGTTTCATGACTATTATTTCAGACAGCCTCTGGCAGTTGCTACGAAGCCAAAAGTTAGAGAAATCAAAGAAGAAAAGCAAAGAAATTTGTTTCTTCAAAAAAACTTTATGATTAATGATATATAGAACTTACTAAGGCTAAATAGATAGGAATTACATTAATAAATAATTGGCGAAGTTTTTAAGGAAATATATTTCAAGCATCACCAAATTACATTTAAAAAGTTTGATTATTTAAAATTAAAATGTAAGAAGAAAAAATAATCTTAGGTATCCAAATATTTATGAGTAGGAGACAACTTTGAAGCTGGTGATACTTTGAAGAAGGCTCCAACTTCAGGCACAAAAGAATGATGATCAAGAGGATGCTTCCCAGGGATGGAGCCAGGAACTCTGTAGAGCAAGTCCTCCTGAAGGACAGATACTGGACCCACTTCATTTTCTTCACCTTCAAAGGAAGAAGCTCTGTATAAAATATTCCCAGTGGTATTTAAAACTTCCGTTGGAGTAGTGATTACTATGTTTCTCAATTTTCTCAACCAGAAAGGAAGAAACGACTGTTGTAACTCTATTTTTCTTTCACTTAAGTGTATAGTATCATATGAGGAAAAATCTCTTCAACATAGAAACTGACTGACCTTTGGTTTGTTTCTTTTAAGGGCATGATGAATGTGTTCAACACATGGGAAGATAATTTTAAAGATATACACACATAGATACAGTGTACATATATACATGCATCTGTAAAACATGATATATAATATATAATGTATCTAATTTATCATTATTTATGAATATTATATATATTTAATTGAGTACAACTAGTAAAGCCTGCCTAGATGCTCAGAAAATCTATTTCTTCTTCATGGACACTGGGCTGTTGGGCTGGGGCATATGACTACTAAAACTCAAGCTTGACCACAAGACTCTGCCAACATCCATAGTTTACTCTCTCTCTCTCTCTTTCCCATCTATGAGCCTAGTAGAAATTCTGATCTCAGGAAGACTAAAATTCCCTTGAAAATGAGTGTCTTAAGACATCTGCACCACCTACATCCATCTAGTATGAAGGAGAGATACAGGGGCTGGGGATTTAGCTCAGTGGCATAAGCACCTGCCTTGCAAGCATGCGGTCGTGAGTTCGATCCTCGGTACTGATAAAAAGAAACAAGAAAGTGTCTTAAAAAAAAGGGAGAGATACATTTTATTGTGCAAAAGCCACTAAGAAGTTGTATATATTTGTTTCCACAATGTAACTTAGTTTAACTAATCACCAAGCCAAAAAAAAAAGTGTCAGATTTATGTAACTGTGTTAGATATAAAGAGGTTGTTAGAAAATGCATAAAAGTAGATCAGTAAAATATAAATTTAAATTTGTATGCATTTAATAAAATAGTCCTGACATTTATAAAGCAAAGCTTGAAATAATTAGGAGAAAATCATACACATAATTGTTATCAAGCATATGGAATAATATTAAAGATAAATAGAATTTGGTCAATAAAATCAATGGGTTTGATTAACCGACATATATGGAGGTTTTATTAAACAACTAAAAGTACTTCATTTTGAAATACACACTGAATATTTTAAAAATTAGCAGTTAAATCCCAAAGCAAATCATGAAACTCAATGCAGTGAAACTTTGGTTCACAAATGCTTTTAGTTTGCAAAAAATTTGTTTCACAAACAGAGGTTTTGGCAAAATTTGGTTTTTCTCTGTGAACTGTGCATCAACTGACAAACACAAGTATGGCCATCTATTTCACACAAACATAAACATGGTTATCTTTTCCAAAATCATGGAGCAAATTAAGTTCATGAACCAAGGTACCACTGTATGTGGGTACTTTAGTTACTTTTCTCTTGTCACTGAGACAAAACACCTCATGTCCAGCATTAAGGAAGGAAAGGTTTATTTAGCTTACAGTTTGTGAAGGTTTCAGTCTGTAATCAGCTGGTTCCAAAGCAGGGTGGCTCATGGCAGACAGGCCACTGTTCAGGATAGCAGAAGATGCCCAAAGTAACAAGAGCAAAAGGGGAAAGCAAACATCTTTTCCTACCTTATATTCTATGCAGGATACTCACCCTAGGGCAGGTGATGCACTCACACTGCCAATCCTAGCACTATACAATGAATCAATCACAAACCCTAGATTCAGCCACCTCCAAAAGGCCTGTCCCCATGACTACCTGAGGCGTTAGGGGGGCCTCCAGACACAAACTATAACAGTGGATCACCCTTTTGATTATAGTTAATTTAGTTTCAAATGAGGAAAAAAACTCGACAAAATGAAATACTGAATTTTGTGGACTTAAAAATAAATGTTAAAGTAACAGAACCAAAAAATTTAAATGCTTCATTATAAAATTGTTAGTTTGCACTCCAATAATATTTTGAAGAAATACTATGAGAAAACAGACTTGTATTATAAAAGGATAATGAAACAACTAAATAGTTAATAAGTATCCAATTTAAGCATTAAAAACAAAGCCAAATAATAAATGTAAGAAAATGATCAAAAAGAGATAATAAAGAATGCAACAAAAATAAAAAGTATTAAAAAAAGAAAAGACCCAATTATAAATGGAAAGGCTGAACAATGTTGAAAGGGGTTTATTTAAAAAAGCTGAAAAAAAAAAAACTCAGCAATATTGCTCGGAAGATGCAAATCCTTGAAGTTAGAAATCTAAAACAAATATGTGTGGAGACACAGTAGAGATAAGAAATAATGGTGAGTGGAGATGTGACAGGGCTAGAGTGCTTACTTTGGGTGCAGGGGGTGCAAAGTTTGGAACAACTTTTAGCTTAGCAATCAGGTTTTCTTATCTCCTTTCTTGGTAGAAACACTTGGAATACAATGTAAAATGCTTTCATTAGACACATGCCCCGAATCATTCCAACAACCAAAAATATTAAACTTTGGAAAATATTTTTATTGTGTTTACATGAAATTTATTATGAAGTTTCTTAGTTCCCTAGTGAAAGGATATAAGGAAAAGGAGTGTAAAGATAGTGAATTCAATTAATAACTACTTTTTCCAATAACAGCTGAATATTCAGAAATTGACAGTGTCCCTGGTAACTGATTTGCCCATTAAGTACTTACTTTTCTAGGCTATACAATATTGTGTTAGATGTAAGAATATCTTAGGAATGTGAATATGCAAACTTTTTTTAAAAGATCAGATGTGAATGTATTGATATTAAAATAATACATATAATTATGAACTCAATTTGATATTTGGGTTCTATTGGATTTTAGTTTTAGTCACTGAAGTAACAGCAATTTGAAAGTGGTGTTTGTGGTTTAAGTACTGTAACATTCCATGAAGTAACTGCATTCCAAGCACTAGGTAATATGTTACTGGAAACTTACTTGTCATAACTGAAGTTTATACTGAGTTCATGTAAGTATCAAATTTACTGCTTGGGTAATAAAAATGACAAATGTGTTGATTACGTTCTCTAACCACCACAACTATTCATCCATACCCACAAACATCTCTAACCACAATAACTACAAAATAATACCATTGTGTTATTTGCTGTTTCCTATATCCCAATAAAATGATAATTTCTTACATCTTGCGATATTAGTAATACATACTTCTATTTATACTCTTAGAATTTTATAGGAAACTACTTCTAAATTTTACCTTATATTTTAACTTATGTTTTATTTATTCTTGCTTTTAAGAACAGACTTAAAGTAAATATTGTGCTTATTTTGCAAGTGAAAACACTGAGGCTTGGATTGGTTAAGGGCCATAACAGATTTGTCTTCCGCTGGCTGTCAGTGCATTTGAGAAAAGAAACCATGTTTCTAATCGTTTATTTCATGATCTTATTATTGACTTTATGGTTTCCCTTTTGCTATTGTCATTAGTTTAATGCACCCCATAAGAGGAAGAGTTTAAATTAATGAGCTGTTTAACAGCTACAATTTTATGTGTGTCTAACACCTCAACATACCAGGCATCATCATTGCCTTCTTTCATGGATTATTAAAACTATTTAAAACATTCAGATGCTCATTTCTTTGAGATTATTTTCTATCTAATGAATATACCCACCCTCAATTTTAAGATGCATCCAAGGAGAGAATCATTTATTGATGCACTGTAAAATCTTGAATATGATTATTGTTACTCACAGTTTGTGCCACACCTATCCAAATCACATGAATTTGTACTTGATTTCCACCTCTCCTTCCCATGTCCTGCATTATTTTAGTAGTAAGCTGTCCTTCAGTAAACATCTTCTGACTATAAGTATAACTAAATCAAGTGTATTTGAACTTTTCAATTAATTATTAGCAGATACGTAAAGACATATAAAGCAGAGGATTATTTCCTTGTTTTTCCCTTCAATACTCTTTAAACCTGTAGAAAAAGTTGTTATTTTAAAATTGACATTTCAGATCTTGGAACAAAAGACAACAGAGTTTTAAACTGTAAAGTTCCTAATGAAGGAAACAGAATAGCACGAGTCTCAAACATTTTAATCCCAAAAGAATTTATGGGTATGTCTTTTTAGACTAAACTTCAGAGGATGGGGAAGAGCAAGGTTTTCGGAAATAATTTTTTTAATCTTTTTGTTCTGTGATACAAAGAACAAGGAAGGAAAAGCAGAAGAGCAGTCCATTTAACTTAAAACTAAAGCACAAAACACAACGGGTGTGTAGAGTTAAGGAAGAAGTATTTGAGGGTTACAAAAGTGTGGATGCAAAATTTTAAAAAAAGTCAGTTGCCCCAACAGCCTGCCTTAAAATGGAAATAAATTAAAACACTTATAGGTGGGGGAAACACTTACATAATCATTTGAGTGTACTTGATTTTGAATGATCTCATAGCAAATGTCCCAAAGAGCCCACAAATATACCACAAAGGAGTCACTTTACACCAGGACTCATGAGTAGTGACTGTTCTTGAAAGAAAACAAATTTCTGTTCAGGGAATTTGAACCACTCCAAAGGATTTAATGACTTGCAGGGGTTTGTAGGTCAGTCACATCTGTTCTGAAATGAAATGCTTTTTCCCGTTTCTAAATTGACTAACCCTTAATCCCATTAGCCTCCACATTTTAAAAAGAAAGATTATTCCTGTTTCACTAGCTGTGTAACGGTGGGGGCGTTTATGTTTCTTCTAGCACATGGAAGTCATCACAATCTGATTTTTCTCTTTTTGTCAGCAATAAGAAAGAAGAGACAAAGAAAGAACAAGAGAAACACTTGTATAGATCCATGTCAGATTTGAAGGGCTGATCTGGCTATCTAGTCCACACGGACACTTGTGGAAAATAAATGTTTCTAAAATAATAGCTATGACCTTTTCAGAGAGTTCCTCTAATTGGTTTTTTCTTTCTTTTTTCTCCTCCAGTCTCTCGTTAGACTTCCATGTTTCTGGGTCTGAGTTTTCGCTGTTTAGAGGGAAGGAAGCTGGTCTCTAAGTGAGGCAGAAAAGCGAGTTCATAGCTGTCTCTGGGGATTGCACTCCTTGCAGTGCAAGCTTCAGACGCTTTGTATTTATGCTGCACCCGAGACAAGGCGGACAGGTTTCATTCTAACGCCTTATTTGAAAATGCAACAATTGGCTTTGAAAATTCAGAAGGGAAGGAGAAAAATGAGTGTGATAAAAAATTTAAAATGAAGACAGGCAGAGAAGCCAGTGGTTGGAGAAGAGCGGACAGGTTGGAGAATTCACACATTTTATGAAGAGATTAGAAAAAAGTATATTATAAAAACGAGCAGCCTCTTGGTACTTACTTCTCCACGACTTCTTTAATACAAATAATGAAATGTTCCACAGTAAGAAATAATCAAGCCAGCCCCATAGCTATATGCCCCCACATCTTACCTGTGAGTAGACAAGGTTTTGCCAGTGTTGTGCAGCAGGGTAATTTCCGCCCAGCAATCTCACGAGGCCAGCCTGCTGCAGGGCGGGGCTCTTCATTAGAGACTTCACATCAAGCTGCAGGAATTTGTCAGGATGATTGTTATTGGGCAAAACAGAAAGATCCATGTCTCTCTTTTTCTACAGTGGAAACAAAGCCCTGCAGAGCTGCTCCCATCAGACTCCTCCATTATTAATGAGCTTGAGGATGCTCCAAATGGCATCTGAAACCAGGTGTGCTCGAGCCATTCTTGAAATGTTCACAAGAACAAAGCAACACACTGCCTTACTTCAAACACACACATGCACACATACACACACACACACACACACACACGCACGCACGCACCACTAAGGGTGCTTGAATGGGACAGATGGGGTTACAGTGATTACAATTAACAGGATGACAAAATTAGATATTTGTAGCACTTAATGTTTCTCTGTTCAGAATACTAACTAATAATGTATGGAGGATTAAGGGGGACAATTGTCTGTAAGAAGTATGCCAGAGTCTCAGTATTATGGTTCGTAAATTGGAGCACAAGAAATAATTACCTGTATTGATTTTTCTGTTTGAATTTTTCTAAGGAAACACCACTGCCTTGGCCCTGCCTGTGCAGCCTTACATGCGATACTCAGTGTCTTGTTTCTTCTCATGCTTTAGCTCCCAGAGCCACAAGTTCATGTGAAACCCAACCAGTTTCAGGTTGCCAGCTTGTTCTCACGAGAGAAATGGCGAGAGTTGCTTTAGAGTTGGCTACAAGAATTTAGTAGCCAACTGCCTTGACTCACTCAACTCTGAGATCCTTTAACTTGTGCTGCCAGCTGTATGGCTCCTGCAATGTCTGGTGTCCACTTGGCACATTTGCAGTTAATGGGAAAGGTGGCTGCTCATGGTGGGCGATGCACCATGATAAATGAACCCATCTGCTCTTAAGAGATCCAAGGTGCACATGTGGCTTGGACAGTACAGCCAGCCAGCAAGTGGGGACTTCAGTGGAGAGATGTGCACTGTTCTCACAAGACCCTCTACTTTAGATGACCTATATGCTTCACTAGGGAAGTATAGAATTCTATCTGGAGGAAGAGGAGAAAGTCTCACTTGTGAGAAAGCAAAGAATGAGTACATTGGAAGTGTCTAAAAGGTATAGATTGCTCTTTTTTACTTATGTATAAACCCTCTAATGCAGCAGAAAGGCTTCCTTCCAGGCAGTGGGATACACACAGGGTGTATAAGCATTAGGTTTCAGAACAGTGTCATTTCACTATGGCAGCCCTCAGCCAGGCTGCCCCTGAAGCAGGCAAGACCCTGGAGAATTCTTTTCTGCTCCCTAGTGATAAAAGGTGATGTGTTTTGACAAAAATGTGTACTACTTATACCTTTAAAACTTAAACAGTTAACGTAGTACATAAGAAACTTTTAGACCTGAGTTCTCCCATTGCTTATAATATTTTAAACAAATTTTAGGTGCTTTACAAATAAATTTA